GGGCAAGGGGGGGAGGGGGGGAGGGAAGGAGAAGAGGGGAAAGAAGACCACTGTGTAGCGTGAAAACGTGTATGGTGCCAGCTAAGCTGATGCCACAGGCGTGTTTGCAGTACTTGAAAGGGGGGGTACGCTAAGTAGGCACATCTTCTATCCGCTAGAACCTGAGGGGTAGCAATAGAGGGGGGAGGAGAAGGAGGAGAGGGAATAGGGAAGTATACCAGAACGTGGGACCGGAGTACTAGCACTAGCCGGATATCATAAGATACATACCTGAAGAGTATGTGTACTGCTCTACATCCCACCAGAGTAAAAATCGGTAGGGGTGCACCAGGAAGGGAGGAAGTGCAGATGTGGGACAATGAATGGTCTACCACAAGAGAACGGCTGCCCACATTCCAAAACCGAGTATATATTCGGAATCTGCGTATCTTTTAACTATAGAGTGCATCTGCATAGTCCGATACATCCACAGGATACTGCTAGGCCAGCATACCAACCCCAACCTGCCTGCTAGTTGGCCCATGGTTTGGCCTGTATCCCCACACTAAGAGATCACATAAATAGAGTGATGGAAGGCACAGTAATTAGATCAATCTTCTTGCATTGCCGGATGCAAATCCAGTTTGATTTGCTTCCAGCAATGCATGGAAAGTTCTTTGGAAACATTCTTCTAAACAGATCTGTCAGCTCTCTGGTTGATTAATTACATACAGTAGCTATACTAGTCTACTCACAGTGATCATAGCTATCACTGAGAAGCATGTAGCCATATGGTATAGCTATCCTGTGGCCAGTGATGAGTGGCAGACTCTTGGGGGGAAATTTGATGGCTCCTGAGGCGAAATTCCCACACTGTGTCGTGAGCTCGAGCTCACAACGCCTGCCTCTGAATTTTCCCACGCTCCAGCCTGAGCGGACACTATCCTGTATAGCTTAGATTTAAAGTAATCAGTATAGAGTGTGATATCACCAGGGTCAGAATTTTGAGTGGAACATAGTGGTCAGTATTAGAAAGTGGTGGAATGAAGCTAAGAGGAGCCTGGGCCAAAAGGAGATGGGCAGAGAGGAAATCAGGGAGAGAAGTAGCCAGCACTTGAGAATGGTATACCAGTGAGCTAGGTAAAGCTCACCATCATGTTTGCAGACCTAGGAAACCTCAGAAAAACACTTTATAGGTTGACACTTGAACAGGAATAGCCAGAAGTATAGCAAAATACGAGAATATATCAATCAACTTGCCCAATATTCAGGTACCACAAGTTGGAGGACCTTGTAAAAATCAGATTCAAATAGTCCATACCTGAAAGCAGTTGTGTATTGATTTTCATAGCAATCCATCCGCTGGAACTCTCAGGCCAGCAATGCTAGCATTGCTCCAAGTGTCAAAACTCACCTTGCAGAAGCCATAGCAGTATGAATTCTACTCGGATTGCTATAATTTTTTCATATTCAAAATGGTGTTCAAAAACGGGTCAGGATGAGCCCCAAACAGTCCAGACCAGATAGAGACAGTACAGAGCTCTAAGCCCAGTCAGACGTGAGCTGGCACAGAAATCACCTTGTGTGATTACAGGTCTAACGAGTAGCCTCAGGCAAGCTACACCATTCTTGTAGCAGTCAAAATCTAATCATATTGGTATAGAGGAAGCACTGTGTTGATAGAGTATACAGTGAAAGACAGGAGAGGCAGACATGGTGGGCAGAAGAAGGTGTGTGGGAAAGGCTTCCATTTTGGGTCGAAATCTGCGACATGCCTCAACCGTGGGAACCAACTTCCTAAAGACGTGATACTTTCAGGCACAGCTCCCAAAGTTCCATCACATCTTAAAACTTGGTAAATTAACAAGTCAGGGATAACTCATAACTCACGACAAAGCACTCATGACATATAATGGCAAAAAGGTTCCGGAACTGGGATAGAATAACATTTTACGTTGTTGCATGAACAACCGTCGGGAGTCGTTGAAATTCACCACCTGGGGTGGACCCTTACCAAATGTCTTATATCTATTCATGAGGCCGTTCTGAACATTGACCTTTTCCGAACAAATCTAAGGGCAAGGCGCCTTTTGGTCGGCCATTATCGCCGATGGTGATTGATACCAAATCTCATACACACGTAGCTACAATGAAAAAACAAATGAATGGAGGCGCAAAGAGCTGACAACACGACCACACTTCTTGACATTGTGCAGTTCGCTAGCAGTGGCGGTACTAAGTGCCGGTACCGCACGCCAAGCGCGAGCAAAAGGCGATGTCTCGTGTGAGAGCGTGTGTGCAGCAGCCATTACTATCATCTGTTCTGTTCAAGCAAGTTGCTTGAATTGAAGGTGCCTCGGGGTCCCCAATGCAGGTTCAATCTCTGACTCCACTTGCCTTATTGGGTATGTCATTCTCACCTGCTTTAAACCTCTTACTTGCACTTTCTTGACTTTTTCCATTAAATGTAGGCACTGTTCCTGCCTCGTGCCTCCCTCGCCATCAATTCCCCGCCCTCCCACTATCCACCTGCTGCCCGTCGGTGCCATTGATGGCATCAATCCCACCCCAAGCCAGCCACTGGTCCTACCCCCTCCATCAACTTCGATGGTTTGGGGATCGTGACGCCACTTTGCACGTACCTGCTTTGAGGTTGTGCAAATCGGTCTAGCCATTTACCAGGTACATAGCTGTAGCCGTTCTGGCGCTACGGCCTGCACACTGTTCCGCTTCCCCTCCTTTCCCTCCTTCTTCACCGTTCACGCGCTCCCCCCCTCCTGGCCTGTAGGGCTCGTTATATGGGTTTTCAAGTGTGACAAACACAATGGTGCAATCCGCTTAGCCCCGTGTGGCCGTGTTCTTGAGTGCTGGCGCATATACCCTCACCTCCTTCTCCCTACCTTCCCAAAAATGTGCCAGCCGCATTTGGTATCACTGTGCTAATCTACGCAGTGGAGGCCTGCTTACACAGATATATAGCCAGAGTCCTAAAGCAGGCCTCCGCTACACAAGGTGATTTCTGTGCCAGCTCACGTCTGACTGGGCTTAGAGCTCTGTACTGTCTCTATCTGGTCTGGACTGTTTGGGGCTCATCCTGACCCGTTTTTGAACACCATTTTGAATATGAAGAAATTATAGCAATCCGAGTAGAACTCGTACTGCTATAGCTTCTACAAGGTGAGTTTTGACACTTGGAGCAATGCTAGCATTGCTGGCCTGAGAGTTCCAGCGGATGGATTGCTATGAAAATCAATACACAACTGCTTTCAGGTATGGACTATTTGAATCTGATTTTTACAAGGTCCTCCAACTTGTGGTACCTGAATATTGGGCTAAGATTGCGGGCCTGCCAGTAACGCGTGCCATGCACATGTTCTTCCTGCACGAAGCGGAGGATGAGATTTGCATCCCCGGAGTGATTGACATACCTCGGCTCGTGCAGCCGGGTACACCGTTGCGCCACGAGAGCAAAAGCACGTCTGAGCACATGCTCAGTGTCCAGCTTCATCGTAACACGGTGGGCATACAGGACAAGCTGGAGAACCTGGCACAAAACCAGACAGTCATCACCATGAAACCAGAGAGCATCAAAGCTGCTGTACCTCAGACCCCTGCCACACGGGGTCAGCAGGTACTGTATTACACTCCTATCAAGCGTATGGCAGGCATGCAGCCGACCACAATGATCGTCACCACGTCCACGCCCGGGCCTAGTGATGGAAATGCAAACAATGGGGACTCGGACTCTGGCCAGAGGAAGAAGAACAAGTGCAAGGCGTGCAAGTCGCGCAAGGGCAAGGACCCGCCCTCTGCTTTGTGTGCAACTGTGCTCCTGTCGACTCCGCCACCATTGCTCAGCAGGAGCACGAGGCCAGTGAGGTGCTCACACGCGTCATCCAGGAACACAATTTGCTGATCAGCGAACACAATGCACGCCTCACGGAGATTGCGGGCCTTCATGCCGAGATCTGGAAGAGCCAGAAGGATCTCGGCGATGAGCGGAACAAGTGTTGTGAGCTACGTGACAAGCTGCCGGAGGCGGATGACTACAACACGCTACTTGAGGACTACAACAAGGCACAGTATATGGTACGCCGCTCTGTGGCCCAGCTCAATCGGGCTTCCTGGGACCACACAGCTTGCCTTGATGCTGTCTATGGTGTAGCGCGTTGCCTCGGCGTATCCAACCACCTGCCCAAGCGTGCTCGCTTACTGATGCTGATGGGTGACGTGCGAGGCGTAGCCGCGCCATCAAAGGACTGTTGGTCCACAGCGGCCTGCCGCCCGTACTTCATCTCGGAATGGGTCGAAGGTCGCGCGCCACCCACTTTCAACTGTTACACGTCCAAGGATGTGCACAGCACCGTCAAGCTCGTTAAAGAGCCAGCATCCCTGCATCTATGCACCGTAGCGTGGCACTTCGCAGACCCGGTCAAGGACGAGGCATTGTACATTGCGTGCCTCTCCCTCATCAACAAGCCCGACGAGTACCAGGCCTGGCTGCAACGCAACCCCACTAACCGGTCTATCGACAAGTCGGCCCTGCGCTCGCTCTTCTGCGGTCATCACTACTTGGCTGCAGATCCCGAGTCTATGTACTGGGATTGCATGACAGGGAACGTCGAGCCCGAGGTCCTCAACACGGCTTACGAGGCGATGCCGTGCGCATACAAGGTGCATGTTGTCAACAACAACAATGTTAATGCTCGCCTGCCACATTGGGACACCACCTGGCAGTACCTGCAGTTGTGTGTGGCGGGCTCCATTAAGGACGACTGCATGTCGCGCTACCAGGACAAGGACTGGTCCGTGCCGCACCGCAGCTCTGCGGTGGCCGCTCCGCTTACTCTGAGTCGCGCCGAGGAGCTAGGCCGACCAGGTCTATCATTCGCGCTGGGACCCAACCGCACCCCGGGCGGGCACAACAAGCAGTGGGGTGGCCGGCCTGGTGGTCATACATACCAGCCGTATGACCCTACTTGCCGCCTTCAACAGTCGGCATCCTCGGTGCTGCTGCCCGTCATTTTCAGGTCTAACATCCCATCGCGCGTGAATCTGCCTGATTACGCCATAGAGGAGTAGAACCACTGTCCTTACTTTGACATTTGTATGCGCAGTTTGCGTGAATTCCGCTCATTACCAATTGTTTTACGCTGTCATCATACACCCGGGCTTCACGCCCTACACTCTTACTCTACACTTCTTGTCTTATGTGACAGCACTTGTGGCCCCTTTTCCTTACCTCCTGCTATACTGGCTGCGTGTTTGTGTGATTCGTTTGCACCTGCGGTGCAAACTGGTGGGGGGTGTGTAAGGGGAAAGTAGCCACAGGCCCATGTACACCAGCGAGGCCCCACCTCCGGTGGCACCACAGGAACAGCACAAAGGGAAACAGATTAGGGTTAGGGTTGGGAGCATGAGAAGTGACGCTCGGAGGATCTAGTTCGCGGGACGAGCGAGATCGTTCTTTTCTTTAGTCGTATATCATCAGCTTGTACTGTCAATACCTTATCTAGAATTGACTGAGTTCAAAGTATTGCACAGTGTGAGCTCTCTACAACTAACCCCTTATATCTTGTCAGCGGGGCCCGGCTCGCCCAGTCATCCGTCTGCTTGTCTGTATTCATCATCCCATTCCCGCACTGCCTTGACTTGTATATAAGACTTTCCCCCCATGTACCTTAACTCCTTTAGTTCGTCCATCTTGCAATCCAGCCTGTTGATGTTCTCCTCTGCTATCTGTCTATATCTTGCACACTCTAGTGCTTGATATCTATCTGTCTGTGTGTCATCTTGTGCAGCTCGGAGGTCCCCATCAAGTGTGTCCCTAGTAGCACCTGACTACATCTTAGGTGCACACATTGCCGCGCAGCCACTTCCGCTCAGACTTGTGCCACCATTCATCTCAAAATCACCAGTTCCATTGGTCCCGTTCCCCTGCCCGTCATTGTTATCACCATCACCTCCAGCAGCCCATTTTGACATCTCCGCGTGCTTTAGCACAGCCTCCACTGCCATATCGAGTTGTGGTCACTTGGAAAGTCGATAGTCATGAAAATCCAATTCATCGACTTGTCTCATTTCAGGTTACCCTTTGGGTATTCATTGAAAAGTCATGAATATCCGACTATCCAAGTCACAAGACCCTTCCAAAAGCTCAGAAAAGCTCAGAAATAAATGATAACCCCGTTTTTCTTTGCTTGTAAGCTGTGCCGGGCCCTTGCCGAGGACAGGTTACCTCGTGGGTCACCCAATTAAGTCAAAAAACGTCAAAGAATGTATTTTAAGGGCATAATAAAGCCCGAACGGCGGCTCGCGTGCCCGCGCGTGGCCGTACTATCCAAAAAAGGGTATAGCGGGTCAGCTTTGGCCTTACCGGACATGATGCGAAGGTGAAGGATAGGTGTGGGTGTGTAGGAGGCATGTGTAGGGCGGATAGAGGCGCGAATAGCACAAAGATCTGGCGCAGAGACAGGGGAGGTGGAGCAAATGTGAATAGAACTACTGTAATGAAGTCCTGGCGAAGGCGAAGAGGAAGGCGGGTATACAGTGATCGCAGAAAGAGAGGGGGCGGAAGGGAGCTCGAATGTGGGGAACGAGGGACTTTCAGATGCAAGGATAGTGAGCAGGGAATGATTTAAGTAGATCTTTATCTATGACAATTATCAGCTCGGATAACATGGGTATACAGGAGTGGACTTACAACTGAACAGCGTACATGTTGGAGAGCACAAAGACCAGGTCCTCGCAGACAGACGAGGCATCAGCGATTTCGCTCTCCTTTGTTGCTTGAGAGAACCACCAAGATAGAGCGATGATGAAGATAGCGAGACTGTTCGCACCACCCCGCTTGACGTTCTCCCAGCTGTCTCTGGCTGCCATCACACGGCGAAGGGGCCATTCAGTCTCCTCTGAGTGATGCCAGGTAGGCATCATAACGGTATACCATTCCCGCATTATCGTGCCATACTTCTTGACGTTGCTAATGGTAGGCGGCGAGGCGAACTTGCGACCGCGGAATAACCACCACTTGACCTCCGGTGGGCGGCTGTATACGGTCAGCTTGTGAACACGAGAGTCCTGTGCGGGTCTATCAATATAGTATATTCCGACGACGCGATGAATGGCTTACTGCAGTGGGAAACTCGAGTTCCTGTTCGTGAAGGGCCCAGAGCTTCAGTAATGTCGTCCAGTCATCGCAAAGGCGATCGGCGACATCGCGCAAGGCAGTAATCGTCCTGACGATGCTCATACGTTCGGTCCGGTGATCTTCTTGGCCTTCGAGGTGCGTCACTACTTCATCCATCGTCATATCTGAGAAGGTGGCCACGAGGTCGGGCGGTGCTTGGGCGAGAGGTGGTGCGGCCGCAGGGGCGGGAGCAGGCAGTTGTATAGCGGCCTCGATGGGGAGTGGCGCAACCATGGGAGGAAGCGGAGCCTGAGCCTGAGCAGGAGGAGCCGGAGCCGGAGCTTGTACAGGGGCGGGCGCCAATGTAGCCAGATCCAAAGGAAGTACTGGAGCTTGCGCGGGAGCTGGAGCCGGAGCCGGAGGTGGGTGTGCTTGCACAGGAGCGGGCGGCAGGGGAGCAGGTGGCGGGGGAGCCTGTGCAGGAGCAGGCGGCGCGTCGTGTGCGGGATCAGCAAGCGGCACGGCGTGCGCAGGACCAGGTGGCGGAGGGGCTCTGGCCGACGTAGCCGTGGCGGTCATTGCTGCCGGAGTCTCAATCACCGCAGACTCAGCGGGGGCGACTTGCACTTCAGATGCGGCGCTAGAAGATCCAGACGACTGAGCATCAGGCGAGACGATGGGGTCTGGGAAGGTGTACTGGGGCCCGGTACCGGAGGACGCTCGCGGCTCAGTCTCGGAGCCAGATGGTTGCGACGACTCTGTCAACAACCGGCGACACTTGAGCACGCAATTGATAGGCTGAGGCCATGATGGTGTGAGGTTTGAAGATGCGGTTGGCGATGCGTCGGAACTGCACAAGATTAGATCAGACTTCTCACAAGCGATGAAGACGCTTATTACCCTTCTGGGCACTGAGGCTCCTTGTCTTTCCCCTTCAGCATCCACTGTCTGATCTTTGCCTGCAACTCGTGTACGCGTGCGTGCTCTTTAGGTCTGTGATAATTGGGTGAGTCTCTATTGCACTTCAAATGCTGGGACGAGTTGAACGCTCACGTGAGTTGCAGCTCTTCCTCAGAGTCGTCCTCCTCACCCGACGAGTGCGTCTTCACGCCGTCAGACTCGTCCATAACAGAGACATTCCAGAGGCTCTCATCCTCCTCGTCATCCAACAAATATCTGCCGCGAACATGAATAACTGGCCAACATGCATAACAGAAAAGGTGCGTACCCCTTTGCCTTTCTCTTCCCCTTTCCCTTCCGCGCCGCCCCGCTCGGTTTTACAACCTTAGGGATGATGGCGTCACCCTTGCCAATGGACTTTGCGGTCGCTACCTTGAACTTGAGCTTAGACGGCGCCGTTTTGGCCTTCTTTGCGGGCTTCTCGGCGGCTGGCTGGAGTTTGCGGTGCTTACGCTTGCCGGTGGTTGCCTGCGGCGCAACTATAGCTGCTCATCATCTGTTGTAAACCATGGCTAAGGGGAAAAACTGTTGTGCTTTTAGCAGTGGCAAAAGGCCTTGTTGTTGTAGAACGATGGGGCCATGGCAGTTGGCATCTGTCGTTTAACGATGGGCCATGGCAATTGGCATCTGTCGTTTAACAATGGCATGGCAATCCCAGCTTTGTTTTGTTTTTTGTTGGCATAGCTAATGCCTCGGGGATGCTCGGGCCGAGCAGCCACATGCTGTGGGTCCCCGATCAATACTCGGGGTCCTCGGGCATGCCTGGGGACCCACGGACCTACCAATCAATTTAATTTGCTGCCCCTGGCCATCAATCAGCTGCTGGCTGGCCTGCCTGCCCCCCCTACTGTATCCCCTGCCCCTGGCTCCCCTGTAGGTGCTGTAGGTNCTGTATAGTGTACTCCCAGCCTATATGTATCTACCCATGCCCTGTATCTACTGTAGCAGCCCCTACAGGGCCAATAATGAATTCACGCTTTTTGTGATTGCCAGCTCATCAGCAGTACTGGTAGATCCAGTACAGGTATGGCTAATTGCCACAGTGAGTCGATAGCGTAGGAGACCAGCTTTTTAGATCAGTACTTACCTCGATTATCCGTGAGAAATCCGTTCCGCAATTGGCTGATTACTGGTGGGGGCTCAGGGACCAGGAGCAGGTACCCAGTACTCAATAACCGCTGGACGGATTTCTCTGATTTTCAACCTGGGAGTAGCTACGGGTATACGCACCAGATTCCAGTACTCGTGCTAGCTGTATCGTACGTTCCCACGGTACGTGCCACACTTTTCTGTTTTCTGGTTCCCCACTGTGCACAGTATGCCAGGATCAAACCGCTGCAGGTACAGCTGTGCGCAGCTGGCTATGTGGTCTCATACATTATTTGTAGCTACTGTATGTACCGGAAGACCCTAGCTACAATGATTACAGTACAGCGCTAGCACCCACTTCCCCTGCTTTTCTCCCCCAAATATTGCTACACCCTGGCCTCCCTCTGGCACAGATATCAATACCAAGGACTGGAGCACATGTGCTAACCCATGGTGCATTGTTTTGGCTGCCTAACCTACCTATACTACCTCTGGTTCTGGTACAGTAGGGCATATACATTTGATTTACCATTTTCCGGCATTTTATTTACATTTTAATTACTGTACATACTATACATCATAAGAATTGCCTCAATGAGGCGAGGAAAACTATATAGTTTATGTGGTGAGAGGTGGGGGAGGTGGGGAGGTATAGGGCACAGAGTGGAGGGAGGTGAGCCTTCGGGCAAGGCTCGGGCAAGCCTCAACTCGCGAGTGCTTGGGTCTCAACTCACATCCCATGCCTCCCACTCATTCTCCTGTCTCTCCCCACCTCCCCCACCC